CCCCAAAACCCCAAAACCCCAAAACCCCAAAACCCCTTCACTAAGATTTTAGGCTGAATTCAGGTTATAAATTATCTGAAGTCTGAGTTGCTATCTATAAGATGATTACTAACCATATCCCACAGAGTGTGACTAAAACACCTAAACGCTGCCTTGATAGCTATTGCTACCTGCAAATCCCCCACAATTGAAAAAGTGATATACTTGATTATTCCTCCTTTTTATGGTGAGCATGGATCATATCTCTTAGTAAAAGCTTCTTGCCACTTTCATTTTCGCTGGCATTTGAGGCCTTTTTCCGATTAAAATGGCTTTTCAGGCCATATCTGCTCTGAGGTTTCGCCTTTGGAGGCATAGATTTTACACTAAATATCATCGATTCATAAAAATTACACAGGCTTGAGAATTGAGGCCAAATTACTCTTCACTTTATGAGAAGGAGGAGCTTGAGCAGGGCTTGGAGTAATCACTTTTGTTGAATTCTTCATATTCAGTTTTTCTAAGCTAAGATTCTGTTGTTTTTGAGCATTTTCCTTCTCTTGTTGCTCTCGAGACTCTCTCTTAGCTTGGTTGATAGCATTTGATTTATTTATCAATGCTGCTATCCGGTTAGTTGCCCTATATCATGATATTGTTCTCTTACTTAGCTGGAGCTCGAGTGACTTGTTTATTGGGATGCCTCTTAGGATCCTTTTGATTCTTCCAAGTGTGAAATCCCTTAAATCCTCCAAAATCTGAAATAAGGCGAAATATCTTACTGTGTTTAGGAGGCTCATCAGAGTTCACTGATCGATTCATGGGACTGCTTTCCTTAGACTCTTCTTCAGAATCAAACCTAGAAATGATTAGCTTAAAGTGGAAAAGTACATTTTGACTTTCTTAATGCTCTTTGGAGGTAGTTTGAGTTCTCCCATCTTCTCGAAGAAGGAATCAATTGTCTGAAATGCCTCTTCAAAATCTTCAAAGACAACTTGACGGTCTCTGAGCCACTTTGATCTCTCTTGCTTAGCCTTATAATTTCCATACCTCCTATCAACAAGGAGAATAAGTCCATAGTCATTGATATGTCTGATGACTCTTCCAATAGCTTGATTTACTGCTCTAGAGCATTCTTGGTTGTACCAGTCTCGGCCACTAATGTGAGATTTTCCTTGAGAATATTTATGCTCAAGATATTCTTTCTTCAGTACAACTTTAGGATCTTTAAACTGAGCAAATGGCATTCCGATAATAATGACTCACCTAGCAGCTTTGTCTGAAAAGTCAAGACCTTCAGAGACTTTCCCTCTTCACACACCGAAGAGGACTGCACCAAGCCCGTTATCAATATCAGACTCAAAATTTCTTCTGACGCTTTTAAACTGAGAACTTCTCTTAGGCTCCTTATAAACAGATTTATACTTTTCCAACTTGTCAAGAATGCCAGAACTATCCCAGTTATTATAGCACTTGTCCATCAAGAAGTAGGAAGGGAAGAAGATAAGCATGCCGTCAGGGGACTTTTCAGCCACTTTACAGATAGAATGACCAAGATCATCTATCATATTATCGTCATTTCTTGTTTGATAAGTGAAAGTAAAATTGTTTCCTTCCACTCCTTTAGGCAATACACCCATACAGACTTGGCTAGGCTGGATAACATGGGAGTTCTCAAGTTGAATCTCAAAAGTAGTCTGAAGCTCCTCTGCAAATGACTGCATTGGAGAGAGCGTCCCTGATGTTAATATGATAGACCGAACACCTAACTTCTTGATCTGCTTGAAGCAAAACCCTGGATTGAATCACCATAATCCAAGGTTGTAGGATACCATCTTCTTCTGTCTGTTTTCAGTGATTCAAATATAGAAATCATCTTTGATACTCTCATTATCTTCTTTTTCTGGCTTGATCTTGTTGACTATTTCTCCAAGAGTTGGCCTACTGAAGCGAGGCTCCTCTTCTCTCTTTTCCTCTTCTTGGGAATCATTCTGAGATTGTAAAGTAAATTCAGGGTTCATTTTATCATTTATCCGCCTGATGTTTCCAAAAGCTTGAGAGAGATCTTCGATGTGAAGAACTTTATTATTCTCTTTCTTTATGAGTTTGGTAAGGTCCTTAACCGCATCCCTTAGGATGTTAGTCCATGCGGTGATATTCTCGGAATTTACCTCGTTGAGTGCAGAGTTTCTCCCGTAAGATTCTAAGTCATCAGCAATACTCTCTTCTTTAATTTTGTTTGATCTGGCAGATTGAAGGAAACTTGGCAACTGTCTTTTAGGAGATGTATTTTCATTTTTATCCTCTTCTTCATATTGAGGGACTACCTTTGTTTTTACAGGAGCTCTAATGTTCCGAGTTTGTCCTTTATAGCTATCCAAGCTAGTCTGGCTCTTATCCCTTGATATATCTGCCAGTACTTTGAAGATATTTTCAAATTTGGACACTAGAAATCCATCTCTTTTCTGAAAAGTGGGCCAGTTGGTTGGTGATACTTTTCTTTGTTTGATATTTTTGAGCATAGTTTCAACCATACCTTGAAGTTGGATGCACTCAGCCTCTGTTGTGGTAATATCAGCTTGATCATCCTTCATATAGGTCTTGCCAAATTCACTTTCTATATTCCTATTAAATTCTGATACATTACTGTTTTGAATTGCCTTTTTGAGTGAAGATATCTCTTTGATTATACTATCTAGTTTAATTTCACTGATGTCGAGACTGGCTACTTCTTCACAAACTCCACCAACATTATGGGCTTCATCGATAATCAAAATGGCATTTTTGTAGTCAATGTCGAAATTCTCTCTAATTTTCTCATCGATGAGGTAATTATAGGGCATTAATATCAGGTCTGCCTTCATTGCTCTCTCTTTGTTGAGGAAATAAGGACATACATTATTTGGCTTTGCCAAATTCATGGAGATCTTCTATGTCTTGGATACCCCAGGTGTCTTTAAATTGCTCTACCTTCAATTGTCTCTCAATTCCTTCTTTATAATGACAACGGATGCCATTGAATCCACCTCGGATTGCTTCATTACAAGCGATATTCAGACTCATTCCGCTAGCTTTAGAGATTTCATTATGAATACACATGTGATCTCTGGAGGCTACCAGAGCTGTCCTTGGTCTATAAGGAGTTGCCTTCAGCTCATCCATGACTTGGGCAAGCTGAGAATGAGTCCTTGAGCAGTAAATTATCTTAGGTCTTGAAAGACATTTCTCAAAGGAACTAGGATCTTGTCTTTCAGTCTTAGCTTCCTCTAGCCATGCCAAAGAGGCTCAAAGGAGGCACAGAGTTTTTCCTGTTCCTGTAGGACTCTCTAGTAATGCGTTTTCTCTTTTCTTGCATGCTTTGATAACTCTGAGCATGTAGTCCCTCTGGATGTCATATCTTTCGAAGGGAAACTTGATCTCGTAATTCCATACTTTTATGCTGTGGTACTCTTTCTCCATTTTTTGCGGGAGATTATGTGGTAAAGTTTAATATATTGATTATTTCAAAATTGTAACACTAATTGGGGTTTTGGGGTTTTGGGGTTTTGGGGTTTTGGGG